TTTGGGGGCCCCTCCCTCCCAAGGATTCTTGGATTATCCATACCCCTCCTCAGCCCCCCTGAGCACTAGCCGTAACTGTAGTCTCTCAGAAGTCAGTTTTCATCCTTGCACCCCGGGTACCCTGGCTCCCTGCCTGTGGTCCCTACTGGCTGGATGCTGTTGCTATGGCAACAGCATTTTAAGAGCCTTCGGCCCCCCTCTGAGGCAACAGGCCTGGATGGAGATGGACTGATCAAATGCCTCCTGCATCCTCAGGCCTGTCTGGACAGAAGGCAGGGGACTAGAATGCAAGAATCAGAGCTGGCTTGGGGTGGGGGTTGGGGGCGGCTCAGGCCTCAGCCCCAAGGGTTTCCCAACAGCACCCCACCTCACTGTGTTGCATGAGCACTTGGTTACACATGCAGACTCCAGCCACCACTGCCCCAAGGGTCTGGTTTTAACTATCTGGGGTGGGATCCCCTAAGACGCTGCCTTTGATCAGCTCTGCTCGTGGTTCTGAGGCAGACAGGCCCCAGACCACTCGACAAAATCTTGAGTCCTGGAAGATTCCCGAAGGCATTTTGGGCATTGAGGTTTGTGTGGCTCTCTCTGCTGAGATTACTCTTTTTTTAAAATAATTTTTTAAAAATGTACTTATCACACCAGCAACCCTCCTCCAAGCAAGCACTGCCCTAGGGTTCCTGGACCCTGCTTTGTGTGGCAGGCTTTTGCAGAGGCCTGCAGTGCCTCAGGAGGTATAAAAATACCCTCCAGCGTTCCCCATGTGATCAGGCAGAGGCTGAGCCTTGATCTGAAACTGTACATTGGTTTCCTTCCCTTCTCTGTCCTGTTTCCCCTTCCTGTGGTACCTCTCATGATCTCTTCTTCAGCAAATCACCTGTACCTGAATCCTTGTTGCCAGGTGTGCTTCTAGGGGAACTTGAAAGAGCTTGGAATGGCTGAAGAACTAAAAGGAAGTCAGTGCTGTTGGAACTCAGAGAACATGGAGACTGGGGTGTAAGGTGAGGCTAGAGTGGTGGGCAGAGGCCTGACCCCACAGAGCTTTGTAGATTACAGTGATGGGCAGGATGGGGGTTATCTGGAGAGCCATGGGATGCCACTGGGCTCTGTTAAGCAGGGACTGGCATTATTTTACATTTTGCAAAGGTCCCTCTAGCCTCTCTGTGGAGGATGGATAAAAGGGCCCAAGTGGCTGCAGGAGGACCACTGAGGATACTGTTATGACTGTCCAGGGGGAGAGAGGATGGAGACTGGGATGAGGATGGGAAGGTGGAGGGAGAAAGAAGAAGAAGATTAGAGAGAGATGAGGGGGTTGGATCTGGGGGCTCTGGGGAAGTTAGTTCAAGGACATCTTGCAGGTTTTCAGCCTGGGTGCCTGGATGCATGGTCAGTACACAGAGAGGGAGGTAGGATTGGGAGGGCAGATCAGGAGTTACACTGGCCAGACGACACCTGTTTGCCATCCCTGGTCTTGCCCAATCCCCCCACTTCACAGATGGAGAAAATGAGGCCTGAGGAAGTGCAGTGGTTCACCCAGGTCCCTGTCATGCCCCAGACTGAAGGGGATGGGATCCAAGGATCCTGCCGCCCAGCCAGAGGGCTTGTTTATTCTCCAGGAAGCCCACTGGCTCTGGCCTCAGACAGCTATTTTGCAGCTGGGAGCGGGTGGGGTTTAGGGCCTGATGGGTTTGTCCTGGGCTGGAAGCCAGTTCACAGCTCACAGAGAACAGAACATCTCTGTTTCAGGAGGGTAGCCTGTGCTGCCTGCTACCCTGTCAGGGTCTGATGTGGGTAACTTGAAGGCATGAGGGTGTGGGGTGCTCACCTCAGAGTGGCTGACATTTGCTCTCCTGGATTAGGCATGGACCAGAACTAGATCCAGATTCTGAGCTTTCCCCTTCTCTAGTCCTTCCTTTCCTTGCTGTGTGACCTTGGGCCAGTCACCTCCCCTCTCCAGTCCTCAGTCTTCTCATCTGTAAAATGGAGACACCCTACAGTGTAACTTTTGTGCCCTCAGGGTTGTAGGGAATATTGGATGAAGAAATGGATGGACAAAAAATACACCATAAACTGTAAAGTGCCTAAACTACAATTTGGGTTCAGTCCTACCACTGCCCCAGTGGGTTTCTCAGACTTTACAAGATGGCCAACCCTCTGGAGAGGAAGAGGCCTGGTGTGGAGCTCAGAGATCCCAGGATCTTATTATCCTGGCCCAGCAGGCTTGACAAACCCATTGGACAGATGGGAAAACTGAGAGGCGGCCATCTGCTCAGAGTCACCAGGCTATTAAGCCTGGATTCAAAGGCTGGGGTCTCTAATTACAAAGACAAGAAAGATCCTTATCCATTCAATGACCTGATTGTACAGATAGGGTAAACCAAGGGCCAGAAAGGGGAAGCACCCTGCCCAGGGTCACACAGGCAGCTGGCAGCAGGGCGAAAGTGTCACGTGAGGTCCCTGACTCCCAGGCCATGCTCCTCCTATCACCTCTTGCCCACCAAACCCTGGAGCTTGAAAGGCAGTTTCCTCCTCAGTAAAATGGAGTGAAACTAGTATTGGCTTCATTGGATTGTTGTGAACATTTCAACAAGCCCCGCAAAGCTTTTAAAGTGCTTAGCACCAAGTCAGGCACAAAGAAAAAGCAGAATAAATGTTGGCTAGTAATATTATCATTCATTATTATATTTCATTTCTGCATCCCCTTCTCCCCTTTGGGCTGCTGTGAGTAGACAAATTGTGGGCGTTCAGCTCTTCCTGGAGACACAGGGATGTACAAGATGGCTTTGGGGGCCCCTCCCTCCCAAGGATTCTTGGATTATCCATACCCCTCCTCAGCCCCCCTGAGCACTAGCCGTAACTGTAGTCTCTCAGAAGTCAGTTTTCATCCTTGCACCCCGGGTACCCTGGCTCCCTGCCTGTGGTCCCTACTGGCTGGATGCTGTTGCTATGGCAACAGCATTTTAAGAGCCTTCGGCCCCCCTCTGAGGCAACAGGCCTGGATGGAGATGGACTGATCAAATGCCTCCTGCATCCTCAGGCCTGTCTGGACAGAAGGCAGGGGACTAGAATGCAAGAATCAGAGCTGGCTTGGGGTGGGGGTTGGGGGCGGCTCAGGCCTCAGCCCCAAGGGTTTCCCAACAGCACCCCACCTCACTGTGTTGCATGAGCACTTGGTTACACATGCAGACTCCAGCCACCACTGCCCCAAGGGTCTGGTTTTAACTATCTGGGGTGGGATCCCCTAAGACGCTGCCTTTGATCAGCTCTGCTCGTGGTTCTGAGGCAGACAGGCCCCAGACCACTCGACAAAATCTTGAGTCCTGGAAGATTCCCGAAGGCATTTTGGGCATTGAGGTTTGTGTGGCTCTCTCTGCTGAGATTACTCTTTTTTTAAAATAATTTTTTAAAAATGTACTTATTTTATTTATTTTTGGCTGCGTTGGGTCTTCGTTGCTGTGCACGGGCTTTCTCTAGCTGCGGCGAGCGGGGGCTACTCTTCGTTGCAGTGCTCGGGCTTCTCATTGCGGTGGCCTCTCTTGTGGCGGAGCACAGGCTCTAGGCGCGCGGGCTTCAGTAGTTGTGGTGCGTGGGTTCAGTGGTTGTGGCTCGCGGGCTCTAGAGCGCAGGCTCAGTAGTTGTGGCGCACAGGCTTAGTTGCTCCGCAGCATGTGGGATCTTCCCGGACCAGGGCTTGAACCCGTGTCCCCTGCACTGGCAGGCGGATGCTTAACCACTGCACCACCAGGGAAGCCCGAGATTACCCTTGAGAAACACTGTTTGTCCTCCCAGGCCCGCTCCGGTCCTGCCTCCCTCTCCTTCCACAGCCTCATCTTGTGGGAGGATGTGCACCCCACCCTCTTTCTGGAGCCAGGAAAATTCCAGGGCTGGGCTACCAGAGGCCATCTTGGTGATGCGTCCTAGGGCAGAGATGGGCGCGCATTCTCAGGATAATGACATTCAGGGGAGGCGCTAGCCATGGTCACTCTGGGCTGTCTCTAGATGCTCTATGTGAAATCAGAGCATCTCAAGTCTCTTCCCACTGTCCTCCCGCACCACCTGCTGGATGCGGACAAGGCTCCCTACCCTCCAGCCCCAACCATAGCAGAACCCGATGACGCCAGGCACCAGAGGCTGTGCCTAAAGAGAGGTCGGGCTTCGGGGTGGGTCTGAGGAGCTGTGGTGGGGAGCGGAAGAAGGCAGAGATCATGGGAGAGGGAGGTTGGTCCTCTCTGGGGTTCCTTGAACTTGAGACTGATGCTCATGTCTGTTGGAGAAGCCAAGTGACAGAGTAGAGGTGCAGCAGACAGTCCCCCTCCCTTACCCCTTCCTTGTGCACTAACTGGCCTCCAGCAGGTGATTCTCTTTGCCCGAGGCCAGTGGCGTCAGTGGATAAATTACATGTGGTAATTCACTTGATAGCACCCCCTTTATTCCCTTCCCAGACTCGCTCCTCTGCTCCTCTGCCAAATAAATGCGCACTCGAATCCTTGTGTGGTCTGTTTCATAGCACCCTAAGACAAGAAGCCACTCCCCCAATCTCTCCACCCTGGGTTCTGTTATGAGGGCAACTTTGCCCCTTGTGCCCCAAGGGGAAGCTTACATACCCCTGAACCCCAGGTGGGCATCTGGGCTGCCTAAGTCGGAGATCTCTGGAAGGATCTGTACCAACAGCTCTTTCCACGATGAGACTCCAGGGTTTTGGAGCCAATCTCACGCT